AATGGGGCAGTATTTTCTGTCAGTCAGCCACCGGTGTCACGGTGAGTCAGCGCTGCAGAGAGTTTGCTCATCGGGGTGAAGGACAAACAGGAAGTGAGGTGTCGTCGGAGCGGGTAAGCACTCGCGGTCACACCTTTGGAGTGACAGATGTGTTCATCCATCATGTGACCTGGCCCCCCCACTCCCTCTCCACACTGAGGTGACGGGAGCTGACAGCCGCTCGCCCCCAAGGGTGAACTCTCCGGTCGAGAGGACGAACGTCTGCGGGGCTCGAAAATCACACAAATGACTGATGACTCGTCATTTGCCTCTCTGACTCACTGTGGACCAATCAGGTAGCAGCTCAGGGACCTTCTGCAGGTATCTAAAGGCTGGAGTCATAACTGGAACCGCACAGTAAAACTGAGGCTCAGATAAAGTTCTGTGTTTATAGATTATATATTTATTTTATAGGAAACAGTGAAAAATTCATTGACAGCTTCTTAAAGCTAAAATTAAATTAAATTAATTAAATCAATAATCAGTCCAGAGAGATAACTGACCTCCATTAGCATTCTACAGCTGTTGGTTTATATATTATATATTTATTTTATCTAAAGTAATTTTGTAATGAGTAATGAGTCCAAGGTCAGTTTCATGTGATATCTCAACCCTGAGAGCTAAACATGAGGATCAATAATCAGTCCAGAGAAATAACTGACCTCTGTTAGCATCCTACAACTGTTGGTTGTGTTTGTAACCTGCGAGGAAACTGGACTCACAAGAGAATCTTTAAAGGCTTCAATCGATGTGTTTGTGTCCAACCAATCAGCGTCCTTAAAGGAACTACTGGCAGCTACAGGATGAGCTATGGGCGTGGTTTAGAAAACAACAATGGTGGCAGCTAAAGAGGTTAGCATAGCTGCTGCTAGCATCTATTACATCAGAACTGGAGAGGATGAATCTGAAGATGAGTGCTGCTCTCGAACAGTCGACAGTCTCTTGTAACACAGGACGTCTCTCACCGCTGCATGTGCTAACTGTGCTAGCTGATATTAGCTAGTTAGACAGATGATTTCTGTCAATAAACCAAAGTGTTTTTCTTTTTAAACTTTGAGTGATTTTTTATTATTAATTATTGATTAGTTTCTGTGATC